TACTAACCGGTCCCTAACCATGTACCAAATTTGAGCGCCATCGGTCCAGCCGTTCTCGAGATCTGGAATCGACCCCTGCACGTGCGCACGTGCAGCAGCACCTCAACTCTGGCACATGGATCTGCATTGCATAGTGGGTGCCTACCTACATGCCAACTTTCAGCGCAATCGGCCAAGTAGTTACCGAGATATTGCAACAATTGCAAAAGTGACACCTCTTCGTTTTGCACGTGGCACGTGCAAAAGGGGTCACCCACATGCATCGGGAATAGTCCAATACTTGGTAGAAGGAATGAAGCTACCCTACAAAAATTACCGCATGTAAATCGGTCAAGTGGTTGCTGAGATATAAGCCTCGCAAAAGCGTGACCACGGCCGGCCGGCCGGCCGCTCATACTCAGAAATTTCCGTTAATCTAAGGAAAGACTACGCTCGCTTCGCTCGCTCCGTAATTACGGAGCGAGCGAAGCGAGCGTAGTCTTTCCTTAGATTAACGGAAATTTCTGAGTATGAGCGGCCGGCCGGCCGGCCGTGGTCACGCTTTTGCGAGGCTTATATCTCAGCAACCACTTGACCGATTTACACGCGGTAATTTTTGTACGGTAGCTTCATTCCTTCTACCAAGTATTGGACTATTCCCGATGCATGTGGGTGACCCCTTATGCACGTGCCACGTGCAAAACGAAGAGGTGTCAGTTTTGTAATTGTTGCAATATCTCGGTAACTACTTGGCCGATTGCGCTGAAAGTTGGCATGTAGGTAGGCACCCACTAGGCACTGCATATCCATGTGCCAGAGTTGGGGTGCTGCTGCACGTGCGCACGTGCAGGGGTCGTTTCCAGATCTCGAGAACGGCTGGACCGATGGCGCTCAAATTTGGTACACGGTTAGGGACCAGTTAGTAGGGTGCCGTGCACAAGTCAGTTGGGACCCATTTTGCACGTGCGCACGTGCAGGGTGCCGCTCCCAGATCTCGAGAACGGCTGGGCCGATTGTGCTCAAATTTGGCACATCGCTAGAAACCGGTCAGTAGGGTGCCGTGCACAAGTCAGTTTGAGGTACCCCCTCGAAATTTCGCACGTGCAAGACTCACCCCCTCGCTCGCTCCGTTAGTCGCCCCAAAAGGCGCTATACTGGTAATCAAAGGTCTACGCAGTTCCTTCAAAGTTCAAGAAGCATGTAACAAGGCGTACCGAAAGTTCCTGTACGCACGCCGCGATTACAAGCGATATCTGCATTTGCATCTCGAGCCAGAGAAGCCTGATTATATGCCTAATAACTTGGCGATATCCGTGGGTCTCGCACACACTAATCCACGCACTAATCCACAAAAAACGTACATTTTCCTTTCTTATCCACGCAAGCAGCTCCGTGAACGAGCAGTTGGATTTTGTTTGTTTGGTACGTGATGGTGCGTGTCGTGAGGGCCAAATTTTCGAGGAATTCTTCAAGCCAGTTCTTTTTTCACATTTTCAGGGAAACTATTCGTTTCAATAAGTTACAAATGGCAATTCCGAGACATAAGACAGATGTGTTAACCTCGCCTCAAGCAATATATGTGATATCTATCTTTTTTTCTGGACTCCGTACGGAACCGTCTGAAGATCATCCCTTCCCCTAACGTTACGGTGCATACAGTAGCATCCAGATCAGCGCATTTTATATCAATGCAGATTGACAAGCCGCTTCAAACGGAGCAGACGTGTACCATTTGTTCAGAACGCCCCCTGGCAACGTCTGTGGCTATGGTATGGTCGAGCGGGCTCGTCTGGGCTGGCGCAACTCTATGCATTTCTGTTGCACGTCGCACGGTTGGCTGACTATGAACGATGCCTGATTACAGTCCAGCCTTAAGTTGCCATGGGGAAAACGGCTGTTAACGTAGACAATGCGTCATAGCTGGATCACTCAGGCATTGCCGGTCTGGCGCTAGAAGGAAATTTGGTGCGATGGCTAGACGAAGCTAGCCGGACCTTCAGTATATACTGCATAATGCATAATGCATGCGTACGTACCTAATATGCATCATCTGATCATGCAAGTCATATGTTCAAAAATATCACAAGGAGTAAAAGGTACTGAAGATTAACCTCACTTTGAGGATACAGTGCTCCCACGTTCACATGTTTGCAGCTTCGAGCGGGGTGTCAATCATGCCCTGTCGCTCCTTAGCTCCACCTTCAACTTTGAGGACAAGCATAAAAAGGATAGTGCACCCCGGCCTGAATCTGATCCCAGTGAACATTTAATTCAAAAGTAGGAAGTATCGCAATAAAACGATATCAATTTATAAACTGAGAAATTCAGGTGTATTAATATCAGGCGTTGCACGTCATACAGAACACAAGTACACATGTTACAGTAGGGGCATTCCACGATAGATCGACCAAAAATAAATAAAATTTACACCCTTATATTTTATTTTTTGCTTAAAATTGGTCTAATGGGTTGTGATGGGCTGGGAACCCAGCTGTGGCAAGGATTTTTTTCTTCGAACAACGGTTTCCGAGATATAGCCTCGGGCAGTTCCTGGAGGTCACACTGCAACCCTATGTTTGGCGGCTTATAACTCAGAAACTATTGGTTTTCTATGGTAAAAATTTATATGGTTCAACTCGCAATTAACCAACAAACGTTTTGGCTATCTCGGATTTTCGATTTTGGAAAATTTTGATCACGTGACATCTTGACCTTTTTTTTTCGAAGAGTGACCTTGATGTTATCCCAACTGAAAGTCGCAATTTTGTCTGATGACGATTAAAGCCTTATCAATTGTCATTCATATGCGATAATAAAAAAGTGGCTTTCGGCCTGCGTTGACCTCAGGTCAGGTCATTTTTATGACCTTCCCATTATTACGAGCGGGAGCGACAGCGAGATCTCGAGAACAAAGCAAGATAGCGACAAGGGGTAAACGGCACAAAGTACACATAGATAAGGTCTACAATTTTTAATCAGGTCATTTTTAGGTCAGGTCAAAGATGACGTCACAGGGGTAAAAGAAAGTCTAAACGGCGGCACTTCATATATATGAAGTTTTTCTCGAATAACTTTCAAAGTATCCAAGCTAGGAACAAACTAATAGCACCATCGTGATCCTCTCGTCGATCCGCATCGAAATATGTGTATGTTGACCTCGAAAGGTCAAGGTCAAAAGTTGACCTTAGGTCACGTGACCTTAAGGTCATCATATATATCATTCGATGGGCCTTGACGAGCTGAACACAATGAGCCTATCCGCGCGGCTGTATCTCAAACCTGTAAGGAGTTATAGCAAAAAAAACATTTGGTGACCTATAATGACGTCACATGACCCAAGAGCAACGTCACAGTTGACCAAGAGCAAAAAAGGTCTCAAGGTAGTCAAAGTTAGTCGTATATGAAGTAACTCATGGTATATTAGGCAATTCCGACGCGTTTTAGTGTAAAAACAAGGGAGCTGATTTTTCCCCAATTGACTTATAATGGGGTGGTCAAGAAATTGACCTGACCTCAGGTCATCGGTATTGAAATTCAAAACGAACTGGCGCTAGGCGAAAGCAAACACAATGGTGCCTGTTCCACGTCTCTTTCTTTATTAGATCAAAAGGTACAGCCAAAACTATTTTGACTTCCTTTTACCCCTGTGACGTCATCTTTGACCTGACCTGAAAATGACCTCCGTAAAAATTATAGACCTTATCCGTGTGAATCCTGTACCGTTTACCGCTTGTCGCTATCTTGCTTTATTCTCGAGATATCGCGTCACTCCCGCTCGTAATAATGGACAGGTCATAAAAATGACCTGACCTGAGGTCAACGCAGGCCGAAAGCCACTTTTTTTATTTGCGCATATGAATTAAAATTGATAAGGCTTTAATCGTCATCAGACATAATTGCGACTTTCAGTTGGGAAAATATCAAGGTCATTTTTCGAAAAAAAGGTCAAGATGTCACGTGATCAAAATTTTCAAAAATCGAAAATCCGAGATAGCCAAAACGTTTGTTGGTTGATTGCGAGTTGAACCATATAAAGTTTTTACCATAGAAAACCAATAGTTTCTGAGTTATAAGCCGCCAAACATAGGGTTGCGGCGCGACCTCCAGGAATTGTCTGAGGCTATATCTCGGAAACCGTTGTTCGAAGAAAAAAATCCTTGGCACAGCTGGCTTCCCCGCCCACCACAACCCATTAGACCAATTTTAAGCAAAAAATAAAATATGAGGGTGTACGGCTTTGGTCGATCTATCGTGGAATGCCCCAGTAGCTAGTTAATCATCACAACTCTTGCAAAATCAGGTGAGTGCGGCGACGGCTTCGGTACAGAAGGCATTTAAATCGAAACCAACCAGCAATCACCATTGCAAAGCTGATCTGCTAGAAACGACTGTGCGCAGTGAACATACGACAAAGTTATGGATAATAATGGTTCACCTGTAATCCAAAATTATCATTTATGCCAAAATAAAATAAATAATAACTAGTTTGTTGCAAATATCCATTGAGTTTTGAAAAAAAGTGCAAACAAGTGCTCCTAAATAGTCGAAATGCCAGTGGACATGATTTCGATGGAATTCATGAACGGAAACAAATATCCAACGATCTGGCATAACTCAGGCCCAAATCACCGAATTCAAACATGGCGTACACTGCCGGTGTAAGTTTTGACATAGGCGGCGAACCGTTTTAAACGAAACTTCAGTCCCATGCACCGTACACCACACTCAAAGGCGACAGCTTTCAGTTTGCTGAAAGCGAAGAGATTCCATAGAATTTTATGTGCATTTTCCCCCGGACGGACGGCAGATAGCTTGGAAATTGATCGGCTTATCAAGGCACAGATTATACCAGAGAGCATCTCGCCGATTTACCATTGGTCAGACCAACAAAAGGAACTGTGTGGGGTTTTAATCTCACTGACCATAAGCTGGCGAAAGTGTGACAGCATTTCTTAAAAAAAAAAAAACAGGCATGTTAAAACACAAGGGTGAAGCAACGTTAGAAAATTATGCGCAAGATGAACCTAGCTAATGGGACGTGCCAACACCAGTCATCTGTAAAATATCTCCTGAAACTAGCAGGTCACCCACAGGCCACAATTAGTAACTATCAGGCGAAATAAGTCAGAACACCTATGAGAGTCCACGGGTGAAACATTTAAAGTCGACGCACGTCAACTACTAAATCTACAGTCGGCGCATGCACATGACACAAAGGGACGACACGCCAAGCTACGAAGCAGTGGATGCTCCGCACTTCGCTCACAACTATACTCCGCGGCTTTCACAGAGTTTGACAAGGCAGCTCTACGCTTTTTTTTCAGGAACATTGCAAACCAACGCGCCCATCGCATGCACGACTTTTCCGTATCATTTTCAGTGCCATAGAAAGAAATTGAGTCGTGCAACGTCGAATTTGAGGACTATTCTCAATAAGACCAACGAAGATTCCTGAGATGTCAAGCAAAGGCGAAATAAATCTCCGAGCTAAGAAAACACATGCATCCAACGAAGGGTGTCAACTTCAATATAGCATATCTAAATCCCTCCACACAACATGACGCGACGCCCTACCACAAACACAGAGAAGGGTGTCTAAATGGTTGTCAACGACCAGCGTCCGGCTCAGGTACCTGGATAAACCCCCACATAAGCCATCACTACGCACGTCTTCAGTTGTTAATTCCCGCTCTCATATGCGAAAAAAAACTTATTGGACTTAACTTAACCAGCAAAACCATGCCGTGGCCATGCGACGTCAGTGCACGCGGAGTATATTTCCGCAATGTTAGAGACCACAGCTATCTTTGAGACGAAGTCAGCTGTTGAATCCACACAAGGAAGGTAGAAGGGAGGTCCAGTAGCTATAGCAAGCACCAAGCTGAGAAAAACATACGATATTTTGATTTCCAGCGGAGATTCTCATACGAGTAGGGCACTCCCCGTCTCTGTCTTTCTTGGTAAAAGAAAGCTAGCACGGCGACGAGGTATCAACTCTGAAATTACTTCACATAAGTCTCGAGCACCCGCGACAGCCAGGCGCAATGTCCTTCTCGTCCCCAAGCACAATCAACGCCCAACCATCGGTCCAGCGCACCTTGGCCGGGCCTTATGCAGGTAAATACTGACAAAAAAGTAAAAAAAAGCTGGGCAAGCCATTACCCAGAGGCCAGAGAAGTGCGATTGTGAGGGGGCAGGTCATAGAGCCAGTGCAGACTGGAGCACGGTTCGTGAATAGAAAGCGGGGAAGCTAATAAAGCAAACTAGGCGTGCAGCAGACCAGCCGATCTTCTCGAAGTCTTCGATTGCAATCACATCAGCCCGAATACTATCGGTCTTCCACTTCAGGCAGTATTGTGACATTAGTGAGCGCCAGCCTGACCCCAACGCGGCCCTATCGACAGACATTAACCCGAGCACCAGCCCCGTAAGCCGCGCCTACCTACTGCTGACACTCAGCCTAGCACTCTGCCCTAGCATTTCCCGAGTGGTGCCGTGAAGGTAGCACTCTGCTCCTAAGTAGTATCCTAGCATCTCACGAATGGTGCATGGAAGATGAACACATTGCACAGCTGCTCCATCAGTGACAGAGCTGACTGAGTTCCCCGCGATGCCGTGCCGTCCTTCAGTCAAAGATTACGTACTGAGGGAAGCAGTTGAGCTGGGGCTGACCGTGACAGGCATTGTAGAGTGTTGCGACTGGCGTGGCGAGCCAAGCGGTGGGAAGCAGCGGCATTACAGTTGGCGTTGACGCTCACTAGATGGCATGAACGAGGCCCGCTCTAGTAGTTGGGATTGTACGGCGGTGGCTTGTCTGAAACGAGCAGACGGGAAGATGGGATGGTCAATACATGGCACAAATTCATTTTCATGTGTAATTTATGCATGTTCCAAAGACCATCTTTGATAGATAATAAAACACGATGTAAGCATTTTTGTTTTTTACTTACCGCCTTTCTTTTCGCCAGGATCTCCGAAGCTGAAACAGAAGCAAAGATCACCGTGTCATTTGTTAACCAACAACCCACAATCAACCGCTCACACAAAAACATTTACCCTCAATGTCAAACATGGGTAGGATGTCTAACAGTTAATAACGACCGCCCACTGCTGACAGCATCGGCGTTTTACGAGTGAGCGCCAACAAGCCCATTCATCAGCAGTCCTCCCACTCACCCCATCATTTTGTCTATGTCGCTCCTCCAGTCGCCGCCGCCGCCGCCGGTCGAGGCGGGGGCGGGGGCGGGGGCGGCCGGGGACGGCGCGTTCCAGCCGCCGCCTCCCGATGCCGGCGTTGGTATTCCGGGCGGCGCCCAGCCTCCACCGCCGCTGCCAGGGGCAGACGGAGCTGAGGGGTCGGCCCAGCCCGGTGGGGCGGGCTGCGACGGCTGGGGCTGAGGAGGGTAGCCGCCGCCACCACCGCCGCCGCTACCAGGGTAGCCACCGCCTCCTCCACCACTGCCAGGGTAGCCGCCGCCTCCTCCGCCACTGCCAGGGTAGCCACCGCCGCCGCTTCCAGGGTAGCCGCCGCCGCCACTGCCAGGGTAGCCACCGCCGCCGCTTCCAGGGTAGCCGCCGCCGCCGCCTCCGGGGTAGCCACCGCCACCGTTGGTCGGCTGAGGGTAGCCACCGCCGCCACCTGGGTAACCACCGCCACCGCCGCCAGGGTAACCTCCACCGCCACCAGGGTAGCCGCCGCCGCTGCTGTCTGGCTGCGGGAAACTGGGCGGCTGCGGTGGCGGCGGGTCGACACGGCCCATGGGAACGTCAGGCGCTCCGTTGCTGCCGGCTGACGAACAGACGGGAGCGGGGACGGTAAAACATCACATCCACGTCGAGGGAGGTAATGCGAGATGACCAACCAGAGAGATGTAACGTGAAGAGCGAAACTATAAATGAGCAAATTACCAGGTTGACTTGTTACGAGCAAACAGCTCTAGCACAGTGGTTGAAGTTTGAAACAAGAAAGAAGACTAACAGTGGGTCTGTTTCACCAATGTTCATAAAAAACGAAAACCTAGAGCATTGGATACCAGTCCACAGAAAAAAAGGTTTAAGTCTTAACCGATGAGCAGAAGCCCCAAGGAGTACAGTCCCGCGTTCGGCGAGAACCGAAGACTGAGCCGACTTACAGCCGCGTCGGCCCTGCGATCGGCGTTTTCTCATCTTGTTGATGGGACAGAACGGACAGCGGAGACAGCAGAGGCAGCAGAGTGCCAGCAGCAGCAGAGAGAAGCCACTGCCGAGGCCGGCGCCGAGCTCCGCACTGCGGCAGGCACAGACGCCGAGACACGACCGATCAGTACACGCTGCAGTAGACGACCGATCAGAGGACAGACGTCCAGACGGACACCCGGCGGCACGGAAAGTTGACCGCAACTGAGCTGAGTGAGCATGATAGGGACTGGCTGATGAAGATGGCAGAGATTGCTTTTATATCGAACGAGAGATGATAGCACTTATGAGACTCGCAAATAGCACGACACACCATGCAGCATTCGCAAAAAAGGACAAAACGTGACAACATCACGAAAAGCATCTTGCATCCTGGAAGGAGCAAGTGGTCAGTTCATACCCCTGGCAAAGAGCGGACATCATTCCCTATACTCACTCCTTCTGGTTGGAGCGCATGCCGCCTCTCCCGCTGCTTCCTCCGCCTCCGGAGTACCCGCCGCTACTGCTGCCACCTCCGCCTCCGTAACTGCCGCTGCCGCCGCCGCCCCCGATGGACCCGCCGCCGCCGCCTCCGCCATAGCTGCCCCCGCCAGAGCTACCGCCGCCGCCGCCGAAACTGCCGAACCCGCCGCCCCCGGACAGGGCGTCCAGAGGGTCGGTGGCGCAGCAGTGGCGGTCCTTGCGCGTGCCGCAGCAGTAGCGGTCGCGCGGGTCACCGCCCCGCTCCGGACACTGGAAACGGTCCTGCACACCAAATATGTTGGTGCGGGTGCACGTCGGCATGGCTGTGTTTGTTTTGAGCTAGCTTCTCATCGGCCGTCACTGCCTTTAGCTCACTATCCTGAAATAGAGAGAACAAGCATAATAGGCTGGAAAACCTCGGTTATTTTAGATTCTACCCATCAGAAGTACTTTAAATTCGAAAAAGTAGTTAATTACCTTACAATATTTCTTCCTCTTGAAGCAAATATTGAGCTCTCTTCTCTCATCTGACAGAATCAAAGCCCCCTATGGCAATAGCTCGTAACAGCATGCTTTAGAATATACATTGCAAAAATACTTTAACAGATTCAGATAAGAAAATATGTAGGAAAAGCTCAAAGAATCCACTTACATAATGAATAAAGACCATTAGGTAAAGTACACCTTTCAGCAGCTTTGTGAGGGATTGTGTCTCCTCACTGGAAGGCTTACCCTCAAAGAAAAAACAATCCCAGTGATAATACCTTTGTCGTTGATTTATGCAAGAGCAGGAGTGCCTTATATCAATATCTAATCATCTTAAATTAATTTATTCACTTTGCTCAAAGGAACACCAGTCAAGGGCATACTAGGTGCTGCCAATGAAGGGCTATCAATTTTTATGAGCTAAACATAAAAAGTTCACTTTTTCACACTTGTTCCCAAGCCAGAAATTCATGACCTTCATCAATACGAATGCAATGAGCCAGTGCTAGGCTTGGAAATTGGATGCAGAATAGCACGACACCCAAACATTATTTTTTTGTTTTTGTTGCTAATTTCAGCAATATTTTCCACTTGTTCCATGTAACAAAACTTTAATATGATGATCAAGCTTAATATGAATGATACCAAATGATTTTGGAACTTTGACAGCTAAAAGACAATTACATGATTTTATAGGGATGAAAATTGTACAACATGTTCAAACTTTTTCCAATAAGAAAAGGCAGCTGGAATGGGAGTTCAGAGAGGAAGAGAATGAATGAAAGACATTACCCACGGTGACTATAAATGCCTACCAACCTAGCAATACCAAAAATACAGATAAGAAGGTAAAGGACATTGAAGAAGCTATGCCTATGCATGCCATTTGCCAATCAAATAGTATAATTACCCAGTCCCCACTGTTCATCATTCCCCAGCATATATGGAAAAAATGAAGCATTCATGTCCTAGATTTGTCATCATCATTTGACGGGCAATTCGAATTGTTTCAGTACCTTAAGTAAATGCAGAAATGCAGATTAATCTATCCACTTCAGCAGATTAATATATAGGTATAGAACAGAAATACAGTTAAGGAATTGTTGAAACATTTAGAGTAATCATTTTGCTTTCAAATTTAAAAAAAAGATGAAAAACTGAGAGCTACAGGCAATTACATCAACATTACGCATAACAACAATCCCCATTCCCCAGTACATCAACAATGAAATCACATCACATTCCCATATCTTAGTGACCTAATAGGGACTGACCCTTCTCTGCAGCCTGCACTTCCAGCAACCCCGCCCTTGCATTTCAATTTGTAATCACAAATCCAACCCCCTCATGTATTGATGAAGAGTAAATGGCCGCAAGAAAACAAGTCTGAACTCCTGAGTTTACCTTAGGCCATACAAGTCGATTCTCATGGGATTTTCTGTGATAATTGTGCCAATTGCTGCCACTGTATTATTGAGTTAGTTGAGGTCATGAGGTTGATGAGGTTGAGGTTGATGATGAGGTGTGGGCGTGTGATGCATGGCAGCTTCAGTAATGGCGCATGAAAGACATTCGCTTGTATAGACACAGCCGCTAAATGTTTGTACTTGCTGTTTTGCGTGAATTCTAAGATTAATTGCTTTGATTTCGTAGCAATATAAGGCATTTGAAATGGATGGATGGATGATGTGAGGTGACGCTGAGCTTGCGCTGAGCTGAAGACCGTGTCGATAACGATCACAAAATAGGCTCAGGCTGTTTTGTTAGATCTACAACCAAGATACGGAGAGTCAAACGCAAAGTAACTTATTCCAATGAAAGACGAAAGTCTCACCTTTAAAAAAAGACGAATTGCAATTGATGAAGTTTTGAGAGAAAAAGCAACAGCCTCAACAAATGCCAAATAATGCCGAAAATCATAGGCGGCGGAACGGGGCGACAGTGCCCCCACCCCCCCCCCTTCATTGAAGGCGTTCCACCGCCACTGCCGAGAATAAGATATACCCACACGTGAGCACGGACGGCAGTGACAAATTCGAAGATATCTTGAGACGGCACAGGTATCGACTTTCGACCGATCTTACCTGATCACGAGGCGGCAAACCTATGCTTTGCACCAGACCACCATAAAACACAAAAAGCGCACAGCGCTCAGCTCCACCCAGTACCCGGTGCCCGTTCGCGGCCGCTGGAACACCGGCTCGCTTCGCCAGCCAGACACTGAAGTGGCTCAGCCAAACATGCAGGCCTCCGTCCAATGGCCTCGGCCCTCCTCACTTGGCGAGCTGCACGCACCTCGGTTGCAAGCTGCTCCAAAGCAACTGCCTTTAGGCTTTAGCGTCTCACGTCTCACATCATGCTAACATAACGTTATAACCAATTCACTCGCTGTTGAGTGATGTAGCCGGGTGAGCCTCCGAAAAAGGAAGCATGCCATGCGGCTTTCTCCCATGGATCTGAATTTCTTTTATCCAGGGATGCGGAGCCGTGGAAATTTCAGACAGCTTCGGCTCCGGCTCCGGCTACGGAGAAATAAAATTCGGCTCCGGCTCTGGCTCCGGGTGAAACGTTATGGCGGCTCCGTCTCCGGCTCCGGCTCCGGGCAAAAATGTGCCGGCTCCGGCGGCTCCGGCTCCGGCTCCGCACCCCTGCTTTATCTAATATTTGATTGTGCGGAATAGCCTCAAAACCATAGCATAGACCATTTCGCCTCTAGCATACGTTTAAAGGCGATTTATTTCCATCATATCCGTTCATACGGTGAACGAGAAAAAAACTGTACATAATTCAAACTGTATACTCTCGTCTCGCTGTCTTCGAGTACACTTTATTCAATAAACACATCCTTAAAATAATGATCTATGCGTGCTGACGGGCGAATGCTAGGCATATTATAATTATTTATCGAACCGTGCCACTGCCACCTCACTCTCATAGTTTATTCATGTCTAAAACCTACGAAAAATTACATTCTTCATGCCATAGCTGAAGATCCAATATCCAACAATCACAACAATAATCAATACGCTTAGCAGTTCCGTCATGCGTCGCTCGTTTGTAGCTCGTATGACCACATGATTTGACATATTCCCGACGACTATACCACGACGTGATGGGCGCTGCAACAGAACAGCACAAGCAACTAAGGCCTCTCATCTCGTCACGATTGCCAGCGCGGCGCCACACCTCGCCGGGGCGGCTGACCTCGTGCATACCCCACCCGCCGCCGTCCCGACCCTCGTGCGTACCCCGCCGCTGTCCCGACTCCCGATCCGTCCAGCGGCCGGTCACCTCATGTTCAGCGGCGCCGCCTCGTGGAATGGCAGAGAGACAGAGGACTGGAGAGCGGCCCCGGCCCGGACGGACGGTCTGTATGTCTGTGTGTCTGTGTGTGGCCGCGTGCTCAGCGGGCCGCTGAGATTCCCTCGTGGACTGCCCCTCCGGCCTGTCACCGCTCGGCCGGCCGCCGCCGCCAGCCCGTGACCCAGGTTATAGCGAGACTTGGACCATCACTGGGGCTTCATGAGTTTGTCCGACTTGCGACGGCGGCCACCAGGGCGGCGCCACGTCCGCTGCCGTCCTCCGAGAGCATCAGCTCAAACTGAAATAAACGACAGCGGTCATTGACGGTAAGGTTTAGCACAGCTGAGGAAAATAAATGAAAATGACGGAGCATATTGCGCTGCCGATTACTTTATTACCGTATTATTTTCGCAAACTTGAGTCGTATGAAAGGAGCATATAGAAACGGGTGACACATATACATTATACATAGAAGGGCGACACCACCCATCTTTTATTCTATTGTTGTCCGTGGATCATTTCCATACACCCTGGAAGCGACTTACATCACATAACCTAGCTAAGATGGCTCACCTGGATGCCGGGGTTGATGAGCTGGTTGATCTGTTCGCACATGAGCCGGTGCACGTGCGGGTGGTAGCGGTACACGGAGCCGTCCACGCCGACCGTTACCGACGGCCGGTTCATCTTGTTGAGCAGCACCGCCAGACCGGTGCCCACCAGGAACGCCGCTCTGGCGACATCAGACGACAGGACGGTGAGCTCGGCAGCGCGCGTCAGAGAGAGGTTTCAGTCATACCATCGATGAACGTTAACTCTTCATGGTAGTCATGCACACTTGTTGTGACCAATTAATGAGGGACTATTATACTTTTTTGCACAAAATAAAGGCATCTACTTATAATTACAATCTATATTTACAAAGTCCGCCTTAAAAGGCCACTTGCACACCGGGAGCTAAGACAAAAAGGCTACTTATAAGTCGGAAAATAAGATTAGTCTCGACTGTCAGCAGGGCTAACTTCGCTCCTTTTGGGAGCAGCGGTCGATCCACTGTCGGTACCCACCTCCTGGAGACCACCTCGCAGACGTATCGGACGTTCTCACAGTCCTCGTCCGTGGCATTGTCCAGACCGAGCTCCTCCAGCACCATCCGACAGTTGGTGTAGTCGCCCGGCGCGTCACTGGGTCAGAGGAGGAGTGAGGGGTCAGAGCGGGGAGCACCATCCGACAGTTGGTGTAGTCGCCCGGCGCGTCACTGGGTCAGAGGGAGTGAGGGGTCAGAGCGGGGAGCACCATCCGACAGTTGGTGTAGTCGCCCGGCGCGTCACTGGGTCAGAGGAGTGAGGGGTCAGAGCGGGGAGCACCATCCGACAGTTGGTGTAGTCGCCCGGCGCGTCACTGGGTCAGAGGGGGAGTGAGGGGTCAGAGCGGGGAGCACCATCCGACAGTTGGTGTAGTCGCCCGGCGCGTCACTGTATAGGAGGAGGGGGTCAGAGGTCAGAGCGGGGAGCACCATCCGACAGTTGGTGTAGTCGCCCGGCGCGTCACTGGGTCAGAGGGGGAGTGAGGGGTCAGAGCGGGGAGCACCATCCGACAGTTGGTGTAGTCGCCCGGCGCGTCACTGGGTCAGAGGGGGAGTGAGAGGGCAGAGCAGGGTTGTCACTGTTCAATGGAGGAAGCTCCTCCAGCATCATACGCAGTTGGAGTACCTACTCGCCAATGTCGACAACGGTTATATGCCTGATTATCTAGATAATCTTGTGTGGGCTGTTCTAAAAAAGATATCCATGACTTCAGTTGGTGTAATGTGGTAATGTCGCTTGAGATCATGTTCGCTGGTATTGATAAATTGATTATTCACAAATAACGTTACGATTTAAAAGTGCAAGCATGTTACGTTAAACTCCGGGGATTAAACTCCCGGGATTAAGCGGATGGGGCAGCTAACCGTTTACGTCATGAGTCGAACACCTGTAGACGCTGAGCATCACACGTGTGCCTAGGTACGGCGCTCGTCATTTGGCGGTAGGACAAGTGTTCAACCCTTCCTCCCCTCCCCGGCATCCACCCTGAAATTATTTCAGATGTCTATGAAGATATGCGGTCAACCAGACTCTAACAGCAATGACATCTTGCGTTTAAAGATCAATACGGTTTCATGTTATACTCGTATATCTGCATTCTAGGCTAATTAGATCTAAAAAGATTTCTGAAAGTGTTTGCTGTAACTAATTAAGTTTCATTTACGTCGCTTACCTCTCGACCTCTGTGACGTATTTGGTGTAGAAGCTGCCCTTCTCTGCGAGCTCCTCGGAGCCCAGGCCGCCGAACAGCAGGCCCTTCTTGGTCAGTCTCTGCAGCACCAGCCGCACCAGCTCTCCCATGTACATGCCGCTGATCATTTTCTCAAACACCTGACGTCCGGGGTTGATCGAGTGCTGGTCGATCTCGCGGTCGTACTCTGGAAAAGGGAGTCATTGATCTGGATCAACCCGCAGCCGACAGAAGAGTGGTGAATCGGTGCCATAAACCGATTGTTTAGTGAATGGTATAATACATTCGGGCTGGAGGAGGCACAGGGGATGTCGCGTTAGAACTTGCCAATCCAGTCTTGTCTAGCTTTGACGCGTACGGCGTACCTAGCATTTCAGTTCACCATACCGGCCGCGGACTGACCTGTGAGCACGTGGTCGAGCTCGCCCTTGCTGCCGAACGCGCCCCACTCGGTGTTGACGATGACCTGTTTCGGCTCCTCCCAGCTACCGTCCCACAGCTCCACGTTCTCCAGACGCTCCACATAGCACGCGTTCGTGCCCGTGCCTGACAAAAGATAGAGGATAGCGTGAAAAGACCGCCTGGTGAACGTTCAGTCCGTATTGAAAGCATCTAGCGAAGATTTGAATAAATAGATCAAGCGAATTAAAAAGAAATGGAGCGTCCAATTCCTCCGATCATTGGATGACAGCATGACGATTATGCAATACCCTATCATGTAAATAAATGATTTGAACGGGTACGCATTACGACCTTAATCACGATTCAGATATACGGTCAATAACATCTGAAACCCACCAATAATCAGGCCGACGTATGTGTCGTGCTTCTTCCATGCACAGGACATCAGTGTGCCGGTTGTATCGTTCAGCACGGCACAGACCTTTATCTGGACGTCCTGCGAACACGATAAGAACTGGATAGTATCGCTCGGC